CACTGATGTTGGCAGAGACCTTGAGTCCTTGAGTGGGTAGTTACAGGGCTTTGAGGGTGAGAGGTAAGAGCATGGGGCCCAGGTGATGATGGTCTCAAACCAGCTGCCCAAAGGACAAAAACTGTACAAAAGTTGGTATACACTGTGCATCAGCTCCTAGCTTTGTAGCTAGTGTTGCAAGGGCTTTGGCTTCTGTGACCATGGGACCCTCTTTGAGATGCAAGGACTGCTGAGGAGAGGCAAGGTGGGGAAAGAGAAAGAAGCTCAGTAACCTTGTGAGAAAAGATGCAAGCAAGGTCCATTGTCAGATCGACACCAAAGCCTCCAGATAAGTAGGGGGAAGGGAATGGAGGGCATATGCATGGGACAGAGCAATGAAGGAGGCTCGTACACTTCCACTGAGAAAGCAGCACAACTGAAAGCCCATCTCAAACGCATGTACAAAAATGAACTAAGTGTTGGAGTAACATGAGAGGAATTTAAGTTCATGCAGTCACTGGATGATGCCACTGCAGCTGCAGACAGGGTGAGACAGCTTGCTTGACTGGAATGTTTTGCTGGATGGATACAGACTCTTTACGAACAGGCAGCTAAGATGGGGTGGGATGGCTGCAGTCTCCACAAAGAAATATCTTGAATGGACAGAGACCTTCTAAGTAACAGGATGTTATTAACAAGGTGGACAAAAAGAGTATGGTCATGGTGGGCATCTCCTACAGGGCACCTAATCAAGAAGAGGAAGTGGACTGGAAAAATAGTTATGATTTTTGGATCTCACAAGGGACTCTGACACCGCAATATCTTATAGAAGAACAGTGCAGAGAGCAAGCAATCCAGGAACTAGGTAGCTGGACTGCATCAAGGGTAACTTTTTGAAACAGGTGTGGAACAGACCAACTAATGGAAGCGCTTTGCTGGACCTGCTGCTCACAAATAAGGAAAAGAAAAAAATGGTCAGGAGTGTATCATGGCAAGCCCAAGCACAAATACAGGCTGGGTGGAGAATGGATAGAGAGCAGCCCTGAGGAGAAGGACTTGTGGGTACTGGTTGATGAGAAGCTGAATATGCGTTGTCAGTGTGCACTTGCAGCCCAGAAAGCCAACTGTGTCCTGGGCTGCGTCAAAAGAAGCATTAGCAGCAGGTCAAAGGAGGTGATTCTCCCCCTCTACTCTGCTCTTGTAAGACCCCACCTGGAGTACTGTGTTCAGCTGTGGGGCCCTCAACATAAAAAAGACCTGAACCTGTTGGAGAGAGTCCAGAGGAGAGCCATGAAACTGGTCAGAGGGCTGGAGCACCTCCCCTATGAGGATAGGCTGAGAGAATTGGGGTTGTTCAGCCTGGAGAAAAGAAGGGTCTGGGGTGACCTTATAGCAGCCGACCAGTACCTCAAGGGGACCTGCGTGAGAGATTGGGAAACACCCTTTATCAGGGAGTGTAGTGAGAGGACAAGGGGTAACAGTTATAAGCTGAAAGAAGGTAGATTTAGATTTGACATTAAGAAGAAATTTTTCACTGTGAGGGTGGTGAGGCACTGGAACAGGTTGCCCAGGGAAGCTGTGGATGCCCCATCCCTGGAGGTGTTCAAGGCCAGGCTGGATGAGGCTTTGAGCAACCTGGTCTAGTGGAGGGTGTCCCTGCCCATGGCAGGGGGGGTGGGACTCGGTGATCTTTAAGGGCCCTTTCCACCCTAACAATTCTATGATTCTATGATAGATAGTGTTAGCTGTAGTTATTATGACCATGCAATTGCAAAGTTTAGTATCCTAGGAGGAATATGGAAGGTGAGTAGGAGGCTAAAGACCCAGAACTTCAGGAGAACAGACTTCAGCCTGTTCAGGGAACTGGTAGGCAGAATCCCAAGGGAGGCTGCCTTGAAGGATAAAGGCTGCCTTGAAGGACAAAGGGGCCCAGAAGACCTGGTTGTTCCTCACAGGCAGCTTCCTTAAAGCACAATAATGGTTCCTCTCTGCATGCAAGAATTCAAGCAGGTCTGGCAGAAACAAAAGTTAACCTCATACAGAGCTGCTATAGCAAGAACACAGTCATCAGGTTTGAAAATACTATTATTTCTGTTTACTCAGCACTTGCGACATCATATCTCAAAATTGCCCAGTTTGAAGCCCCCTGGTGAGAGACAGATACTGATAAACTGAGGTGATGATGATTAAGATGGTTAGGGGGATGGAGAACAATGAGAGGCTGAGTGGACTGGGGAGTTTTAGTCTCGAGAAGAAAACAGTCTTCATCTTTCTAAATGGAGTTATAGAGAAGATGGGGATAGACTCTTCAGAGACCTGTACGCTCAAAGGATGAGACACAATGGTCACAAGCTGCACCAAGGGCAGTTTTAGGTGGATACACGGGAAAAAAACCAAAACATAACATTTTTCACAATTAAGTTGATCAAACTGGGACAAGTGCCCAAAGACGCTGTGGAACACCAGTTATTGGAGATTTTAAAAACTTCTTGACTGGATAAGGCTCTGAGCTGCCTGGTCTAACTTTGAAGGCCACCCTGCTTTGAATGGGAGGTCAGACTTGATTGCCACAAAAGGTCCTTTCCAACCTAAAATTATTCTGTGTCATTCAGGATCTCTGTTTAGGTTTTTTCCATAGTTCCCTCTAAAAGGCAAGTCTATTTGCCTTAGCACAGATAAGGTGAAGTTCCCCTCTGAGAGTGTGTTTCTTACTATTGACAATAGAAGTTTAAGCAGATGGTTCATAAAAAACACCTAGTTTTCAGATGGCTGAACAGTTGGCATGAATCCCATTCCAAATAATATCTTCAGCTGCTTTCTGAACCTGAGATGGCACAGCAGACCATGCTACAAGCTGTTCTCTTCATTTGAGCCAGAGCTTTTATCTGCTACCTAATTTGTCAGTTAAGCTGGCAAAAGGATACAGATACTTCAGTCCAATAACAGGTATTAAAATTGCTTCTTCTAATATATTTCTTTAAAGATATATAAGTAGGAAAATGACTGATCTTCCTATTTTCTTCCAAACTTCCACAGAACAACCACATTGTCTAACTTCTTTCTCAGAAGCCTACTATTCTCTCTAGTATAACAGCTACTTGAACTTTGTGATAAGACAGCATCCAGGCCCTTATAGAGCAATGTATATAATTCCTTTTTTTCTTCAAATCAGTATGCTGGTTTCTGTCTTATAAGAACTCTAACTTCACCTGTGACCTAAGTCACATCACATCTTTTCATTTTCCCATTAGGTCTGTGTTTAAATAGGTGCACACCCTGGCAGCATCCTGATCACATGTTGGTATGAGTGGCAAATATGCACCACTCCTCATCACTCTCCCTTTCCACACCCTGTTTCCCATTGGGAGGCAGTAAATTAACAGGCTCTCTAGTCCTGAAGGAGAAGGATAGAGGAAGGGATCAGGGCAACAGGGAACACAGTAGAGCACACCACCCTGCCTTCTAGAGGCAGACTAAAACACCCCTCTTCTGCCTCAGTTTCTACCTTATCTTGCTCTATCCCCAAGTTATCCCAGATTTAAGATATTAACTATTGTGAGGAATTCCTATTGGGACAGAAAGAGAGACAGCAATTTTATTCTGTCATACCTTTGGGTCTGAGAATCCCTCTTACTCTCCATTTAACATCATGGGCCATTGATCAGTCATACCACAGGAAACGGATTTGTTGCGCAAGCCATCCCATAGGACATAGCTTTAACTACTGGCAATGCAAAGTATTTATAAGCTCTTGTTATGTCAGTATGGTCACTTCTACCAGAATGATTTTAATTCATTATATAATTAAACCCTCACCTTGGCTATGGGACTTCTTGTGAGAAGAGCTGAGAGCAACAAACTCTTTTTAATGTTTTTGTGAGTGACCTGAAGTGTTAGATAGGATAATGATATTTACGGTAAGCATGTTACCCAAGCAGCCTTGCCTCACTGGTGGGTCTGAGAGTAGATGCAGAAGAGCTTGGTCAGGAACTGTGTCCCCCTGCCCAAGTGAAAATGTCTTGTGCAATCTGAATAGCTCCAGGGTCCTATATTCTGCTGCCACCCCTATCTTTTGGTAAATCATGGCAGGATTTTGCTAAATATCTTTGCTTTTCAACAACAATAATCATAACTTTAAAAGGGAATAATGATCACTAGCTGCATATGAAGATCTGTGAGGTGAAGTGGGTAGGCAAGGTCAGCAGGTTAGTAACAGAAGCAGAAATTGATCCCAGGCCTTTCGGTCCTGACGTGAGTGGCTCTATCTTGTAACACAATACTGCTCTCACAGGGCTGCTTCTCACCAGGCTTTACACAAAGGAGAACAGTGATTGAGCACACACTACCATTTGCATCCTACACAACTGTATCTTACACAGCAGTGTGACATTCTTCCAGACTTTTAAAGGTTAACTGAAAAGCATCCCAGAGAGCTCCCCATATCAGCTGAATCCTGGGAGGGTGCATCCTCCATAGTATGTGTGGGTTATGATGAAGGACGGAATTGTTGTATTTCATTCACAGAGGTTTAGAGCTCCCACTTACTCATACGTGACAACTATTCTGTGTGATCCAATCACATCCAAAACATTTCTTCTATACTGGTCATGTGAATGTGCTCTGTTTTCCCACTTCTTTAGAGCCCACCGTAATCACCTTTTGTGTCAGTGATTAAAAACCCCCTCTCCTTAGCTAAAGCCCTTGAGAATCCCACAAGGCAGCATCCTTAAATATGTATTCTTTTTACTGCTAAAAAAGATGATTGAAATTGCACTGCAATTCCATTATTTGTCCTGGATTTTTTTTTTATCTTAATCCAAAAGTAGCTTTTAGCATACCTTCATGACTAAATAACTGTAGAAAAAAATTGTCTCCAAGGCAGGCACTGCACAAGCCAAAGGACAGAAGCATGTGCTTTTTCTTTCTTTTAACCATGGTTAATATAATTTTTGGTCAAGGAAAATGGAAGAAATACCTCATCCTTTCTATTCTTTAATTGACTGAGCAAACAGTATACCCACCAGCAATGATGAAGAAGCCTCCTCCTGCTTTGTACAGAATGTGGCTGGCAAAAGGAGCTGCACAGATGATGAAGAAACTAGCCATCACAATAGTGAGAACTCCCAGGAGCATAAGAACTGTCCAGAAACCTCGATAAACTGGAGAAAGAGAAGAGGAAAAAAAGAATACAACACTTTTTAGAATTTAAACAAGTGACATATTTGGCTAACAAAGATTTATTTTTCTCCTTCTCTTTTCACTTGCCTTATTAACAAATAAAACACCCATTCCATTGTGCAAATACGTTATATATCATGTGGACCAAATTAGGCTTGAATGCCAGTCCTTATCTGATGATCATGGAAAATAATAATGGTTGTAAGTTGCCACGAATTAAATCCATCTGCTTAATATTTAGCAGGGACTTGTAAGATAGCAACTTGACCACATTTATGCTCTTTAGAAAACGGCACACCAAAGCTGTAGCAATGATTCTTTGGGATAAATGATTGGACTGACATGATACAATTGTTTTACTAAAATTGTCTGGGAGAAGCGGAGAGCTGCAACATCTTGACATCTTAGTGCTCAGATCTTATCACCAACAGCAATCTATAAGTTTTCTACAATTTAGAACTGGATAATTCTCCTTGCATATAGTCCTATTCAATAGACAGAAAGCAGCAGGGGGGAGAAACTCAAAAAATGTAAACTAGGTTTCTGAAAAACAGTTAAGCATTTTAAACCAGCCTATTCCTGCTCTAAGGCTCTTTGTATTTTATTAGATTTAAAATGTGATGTTTCAGAAGCCCCTGCTAGACAGTGCCAAGCAGTGCTGAATTAATGGATGCAGCTGGCAATAAATGAGCCGAGAGTTTTGCGACATACTCTGGCCAAAAGAGTCTTTCCAACAATTATTTTTTAGCTGGTTAATTGCACATCCATTTAACAAAGTCATCATTTTACAAATACTACAAGAGTGACATAAATTTCTCCCATGAATTTAAAAATTGGTACATTAACACAACCCATTAGTAAAATTATGAGTTGCAAAGATCTCCATAGTCAGATCTGAAAATCTTGAAGCATTGACAATTCAGTCAGTGAAAAAACATTTCCACCCAACTGAGGGAAACCATATAAGCCAGCTGGCAAGTCAGAAAAAAGTGAGTCACAAAAGAAACTGCCACTTATCATTTGACAGCACCTACTTAGTGTTATGGCAAAACACAACGAAGCAATTATTATACAGCTTCATATCCTGAAAGTTTCAAATTCATACAGCTTGTTAGAGCCATCTACTCTAGAATAATTCAGGTTTGCTCTCATCTGAAATTGAAGGTGCACTAGACATTATCAACTCGTGCTTCCTACTAAAGTGTTTCAAAAATCTGTAGTTTTTAACTTGACCAGTTTAATTCCTCTTAAAGTATACACCATCTTGCTTCAATCAGTCTTGTAAATATATTAGCTAGATTACATTCACCACATCACATTAGCCACACTTTTTAAATAGCATCCTTTTCAATCCAGGCAAACATTCAGAGACATAATTTTCTGCCACACTGATCAGCAGATTTGGGCATAGGAAGGATGAATGTGTCTGAAAGTAGCTGGCAGAAGAGTTAAAATTGTGTTTTGGTACATATCTAGTACAAGTCTTCTTTCCACATCATAAACAAAAAATGTGGAAACAGTAGGTAAGAAAAAAGGCTGTGGCTCAGCAAAGCAGTTAAGTGTGTGTTCTGCTTTAAGTACTCTACTTACGGGATTTAGGCACCCGTTTAAAGTTAAACACATAGTTAAATGATTCACTTAATGCAAATGAGCAGTGAATGGAGACCTAGAAAGGTAAATCTCTCAAGTCCTTCAGTCTTGGGTCTCTGAAGCAATTTCATATTATTTTACTCATGGGGCTACTTTGCTAAGCTTCATCACAGTCCCCAAGTCCATGGGACATTACCTCCTCATTTAAAACCTAATACCGCTAAATCAATCTATAACCACCCAACTCTTTTACATGGATGGCCCAAGGTACTTCAAAGTCATGCTACATAATAGGACACTGGCCAAAATGGACCTTGAAAAAGGTTTCTTCGATATCATTATGGTCAGTCATCTAAGACATAACAGCATTGTTTCTATTTTTTGAATGGGTGAGGACATGAGATTACAGCATTACAAAATCAGTATCCAATTCCATTATCTGCTCTTCATACACAAAGCTTTGAAGTCTGCTTTTAGCGAATTTTTACCAGAAAAGCTTAATTTGTTCAAATATTTCTGGAAATGGAACACAAAAGGACTACAAATGTAACTGGTGAAAATTTGTTTAAACCTCTTTATAACTAAATGAGAGAAAAGCTGTTTCTCTACTTCAACAGCATAATTTTATGCATTATACATGAAATACTGATTTGACGTAGCTATCACCTGAAATAAGCTTCCATTCTATTTCTCCGGAAATAATTATTTACTATAGAGAATCATGGATAAATTCTGATGATCCTAACACCTGTTTATCCAGCTAACTCCATCATTAAACATCAATTAGAAAATAAGAGCATAGTTGACAGGTAAAAAGTCTGCAATGCTCCCAAATCTGTGACTTTTCAAGCAAAAATCTACCCCCTCTAATTTTCAAGACAGTAAGTCATTTGAATCATTTGTGGCACAGGTCTGAGGAAACATCCTAAGAGCATTCAGACCTTTTCTTTAGTAAGGAAGTTAAAAATCAATCACTTTTCTGCAAAGAAGGCTTCACTTATTTCTTACTTGGACTACTTTTGCTCAGACCACATTTCCCATCTTCTCTACCTAGATGGGCAAGATCAGTTCCTACAGGGCTAATCACTCAAAATTATAATGCAGCCCTACTGCTGTCATTTAGCTTAGCTGGCATCTATAGATGAACACAAAAGAGCTGGTTGAAATTAACCCTTCCTGGAATGAACTTACTTTTCAAGTCAAAGGCTTTGCTCCTCTGACATGGAGGTGAACCATGACAGATAAAATGCAACAGAAGATGCTGCTTTGAATTATGCTTCTTTATATCCCATGAAAAGGGCTGACACTGTGATCCAAGCAATTGTTTCAAGAAACAATGGTTCAGCGTACCTGTACAAAGTGTTAACAGAAGTTTGCACCATTTCAAGCCTCACTGAGGCAGTTCATAAGCTAGCCTGTGTTCTGGTCCAGATGACAAGGGAGTACCCTTGCATCTGCAAGGTACTTCACAGATATGTTTGAGTTAGCTACTTGTATTGTTCCAAGTATTTCCTACAATAGAAGAAATAAAGTACAAGCAGTACTGCAGAGTCTGAGGTAAACCTATCTGCACTGTTGATCTTAGATACCATTGCTCTGTGTTGCAAGAGTGCTAAACAGAAGGTTCTGTAACTTGTCTTGGTAAGCTGTCCCTTTGTCGGGTACAACATTTGCCTTGGCAGTGACAGGCATGCCTAAAAATAAAATAGCACTTAGAGGAAAACAGGAGTACACACGGTGTGCTTGTCTTTGATCTCTGCACAGTTTGGCCTGTATACTATGGGAACATTATAGTTGCAGTATATAGCTCCAAAATTTCACCACCTGTAGTTTTCCTTTGCTACTTGCCTTTCTCCCTAAAGATCCTAATTTAGGTCCCTCTGGAGACTTCTGCATTGTTTGAAAACTAGAAGAAGCACCTGGTTTTGAGTAAGAGACCAAATTCTGGAGAAAAGGCTGAAAATTATCAAAAGCCTCCTTTTCTAGTATAGTAGATGCCAGCATTGATTTTAAACAGAAGCTACAGATTCATATTTTAAGGTGTTACTGGTGCATGATATGAAAGAGAAGCAATAATTAATCTGACAAAGTTACACAGCTGTGTCACCTGCAACACACACTTGCTGTGTAGTAGCCATGCACACCTCTCAAGCTCCACAATGCATTACTCACGAACAGGTTAGCTAATGACACAACGCAACACCCATCTACTGTCAGAGATGTTAACATCAGTCTCACGAAACCATACCACCTATTTTATTGCCCTTGTTGATTTCTAGTATTTTAAAATCTCAGCCATCGGCCCATACATTTCCTATGGCCTATCAAAAAAAAGACCCCAGCCACTTAATATTGAATTTAATATCAATTAAGCACTAGGAAACCGAAAAACTTTTTGAAGCATGTGTGAATACAGTGCTGCATAAACATTACTAAGGATAGGCAAAATTAATTGAATTTTCACCTGCAAGCTCACATCCTAAAGTGAAACTTTCCTGCATTTTGGCTGTGGATTATATTTTATGTCTTTTTTACCTCTCTATATAATGTGAGATATAAAAATCACAGAATCACAGAATCGCAGAATGTTAGAGATTGGAAGGGACCTCGAAAGATCATCTAGTCCAATCCCCCTGCCAGAGCAGGACACCTAGATCAGATCACACAGGAACGCATCCAGGCGGGCTTTGAATGTCTCCAGAGAAGGAGACTCCACAACCTCTCTGGGCAGCCTGTTCCAGTGCTCTGTCACCCTCACTGTGAAGAAGTTTTTTCTCATATTCAAGTGGAACCTCCTATGTTCCGTCTTGAACCCATTGCCCCTTGTCCTATCACTGGATGTCACAGAGAAGAGCCTGGCTTTTGACAAGAGCTCTGCTTTTGACAAGAGTATTGCTACCCACAATATAAAATACAGTGAAAGGTGAAGTGCCTGAACTGCTCTAAATCAGGAGCATCTTCTCGGCAGATACTGTAAGTGAGATCACAGATCTCAGCAGCACCACAGGAGACACACCTGGCAACACAGTAAACCTTGCAGGACTTTTCTCAATTTCATTCAGTACCCTTTACTATCCCTTAGCAGTAATAATCTATTTTTTTAATAACTTTAACAGTAAAACAAATACAATATTCACAGTATGAATACATTGCTTTTTTAAATACTTCTTGCTTTATCACTGCTTGGTGTCTGGGGAGTTCTACCTTAGTAAAGGTACTGTATTACAGTCTCTCACAGGCAACTACGTGACTGTATTACATAACAACATTTTTTCACCCCAGAAATAGGCTACTGCTAACATTTCACTGTACAATTTTAATTTTCAGATTTCATTGCTGATATGTTCTAGGTTACTTTAGGTTAATTTAAATCCAGTAACGAACCTGCCAATAAATTTGATCATACCATTTTAGATTTAACAGTTGCTGAACCAGAATATGACTTCAGTTCTATAAACACTGTGTATTCTACATTATATTGGGCACTACTTGAAATGCTGGCAATGTCCCCAATACTGGAAAAATAAGATACTAATAGTCAGGAAAAAAGTCTTAGCAGCTACAAATCAGAGTATTAAACTAATGTGTCAGTGCAGCCCCAGTAAATGGCTTCCAATTTAGCTTCAGAAGGCACTGGGGCAATTTACAACAGTTAAGGAACTATTGTTTATTTCCAAATAAGTTGAAGAAAAAAAAAAACCCTTCAAAAATGAAATCAATTACTTGGCTAAGTACTAGATTTTGCACTTCTTTTTCTTAGGAATAATCTCATCGTAGCCAACAGGACTACTTGTATGAGTAAGGACTTTGTACATTTTTCAAAATGTACAAATGTAGTATTGTTCTGTAGTAAAAGAATCTTACAAAAGTGTGATAGTGCTTGCATGTCAGTGTTAAGTAATCTAATGAAATGATACCATGCATTAATCTAGCTAGCAATGAATTATTATTTAAGTACTGTACTATTATGTTTTCAAACTAGCCTGATGGGATAACCAATATGATTATGATTATACAAATGTGTGCTTATTTTAGAATGTAGAGGTCACTACTCTGGCACTTGTATTGTATGGGCTAATTTAATTTTTTTTTATTCCTAGGTTGTGGTTTGTTGCACATATTTTGTGAATCATCATACAAATGAATCTGTTGGCAACACAATGAGATGCTAAGTCTACCTGAGAGCTGCACACTATAATAGCTGTCACTATAAACCACTGTACCATCACAGAAAGTCACTAGAGTCAGGCTTCCTGAGTTCATTTAGATGCCTGTTTCAGGTTAAGACAAATGACATAGCCTACAAATTTATTTAAGGACATTAACCATAAATGATGGTTAGCACAGCTGTGGACCACACCTTCCACTGCAGGTAGGTGAAGTCCTCCCCACTGCACCAAGATATTTAACAAAACCAGTAAATGAACAAAACCATTAGAACTCCAATTAAAAGATGCAGCCAGCTGCAATTTCAAGGCAGTGCTATCTAACCCTTCAAAGCTGATCATGCATCTGACAGTAATGATGAAAAGAAATCTCAGACATTAAAACATTCAAATCTCCAATATAAGTATCACTGTAGCTTTTTCTGGAAATGTCTTTGCAATTCTTGCCACCAAGAGCTCATAGTCTAGGTTTGTACAGCAGGATGAACCAAGCCTTTGGTCTAAAACTTTGTAAGGTGTCCTATAACACTAAACCTCAAGGTTCTCAGTGTTTTAAGTCTTTTGAGACCTATCACACAAACATCATAAAACCAGCATATAAAAAATGTAAATAAGCTAAAAGGGGATAGATTGAGCCTCTTTTGAATTCTGGCCCAGAAAATCTCTGAGCCAAACTCCTACTGATAGTAAAGCCAAAGGGGTTACGCCAACAGAGAGCTTGGTCCAGACGTTGCACTAAAAAATCATCAGAGATTTTATCTTCTGCAGGAAACTTCTCTTTGCCTGAGCCCTTTTAACTGGATGGTAACACAGCACTCAAACCACACTAGTGTTTCCATTAGGGGCTGCAGTTAAATCCAAATTCCTCTGATAAGGTCCCAAAATCTCTTAAGCCAAAGAGTCTGTAAAAGAAGTCACAGGCCTTTGCTTGCTCAGAAACTAACAGTTCTGTTAACAGAAAGTTAGAGATTTCTAAAAAAATGTTTTGTATGTACATATGTGATTTTTGTAATGAAGTTTAAAGATTTTTTTTATTCATCTGTTTATTTTTCTATGAAAGAGCAAGCAAACGAAGCATTTTTCAGATGACAGAATATTTCTTCTTATCCACTCCTAATTAAAATAGGACTTGAGAGATTCACTAAAAACACAATGATAAACCTGTGTCGGAGATTCGGACTTTTTTATCCCCAAAAGGGAATATGTTGAGAAAGCTATGAGCCATGAAAATGGTACTATTGTGTAAAGAAACAGTAGCAGAACGAAAAAAGATACAATAACCTCAATCTTTTGGTAGTGCCCTTTTGTTCTGTTTAGCTGATGTAAGGTATTAGATGCAGCCAACTGGATATACAAATAGTTGACTAAATCTTGTTCTTCATGAAATCAAAACAAGGGCTTTTGCTGCTGGCTTTTACAGAGAAGCATTTCCTTCACTGTGAATCAAGAAGAAGAGGATAACCTTCTAGCACTTCTTAATTTAGCAACTGCAGTTGCAGCAAGGTTTTAAAAACTTGTTTGCCAAATACCACGGGCAGGACTATCAAACTAGACTAAGGGAGAAAAAAGTTTTGAAATAACAGAAGAGATGGTGACATAACCTTCTTCATAAAAATTTGTTAAATATTCTTGAACAAGCATACTTGCTCTAGTAAATAACTTAGCTTGGATGCTGAAAATGAACTGGAGGCATTAAAAAAACCTCTCCAGTTTTAATTAGCTCAAAAGCAATCCAACTGTATCTATTTATATAGCAGGAATGGCTCTGAATATACACTACCTGGGGCAGCATCTATAGTAAAATTCTGTCTATTTTTAATCTCCTAATATGAAATATAGATAGGAAAATTATATTTGAGCAGTGGTTCTCTTGGCAAACATTAACTAAAATTAATTAAACTTTTGATGATATTCCTTCTCCTTTCCTTATTCTTTGTTTGTCCACTTCTGTGTAATCATGCAATATAATTTGAGGATCCTTTGTGAATGTACAAGTGAATGGTGGAATACAAACTCTGTCTAGATTATTAGGAGCTGATGACTCTGTCACTTTCAAATTGAAAGATAAACTGTTCTAGATGTGCCGTGAAGTTACAGATTAGATCTCTGAATGGTGAGGTCTGAATTCTTCCTGGGCAAAGAGTTCATAATTTCTAACGACTAACAGAACCATTATCACTCCAATTTATTTTATTTTTCATGTCTGCAGCATAAAAATTGGATTACGAAGACACTTCAAAGTTAGCAAAGGCATAATTACAGCTTCAGGACAGGAAGGGATCACTTAAGTCACTGAGTCAGCAAGCCCAGAGACATGCAGCATCCACACATCACAGGTTATTTAAAAAGTCATAAGAAATAGGTATCAGAAGTTATTTACTTCAAATAGCTTTGCCTTTGATCTAATGAAAAGTGACCAATATTTTTGAGTAGTTTTTAAGAGTTGTAAAAACAGAGCTTTCCAGGCATTATTCAAACATAAGGTTTTCAATTACTGTATATCTTCCATGTATGCATATCTACATGTATCTCTGTTATTCCAATAGTTTCTGAGTGTTAATATCTTAGTTTAACATAATAAGCATTTTGAACTATTATGGAGAATATATATATTTAAAAAGAGCTTAGTTAAAAAAAGAAAACTGCCCATAGCTACAGTCTCAGGCTACATTATTAATGTATGGCACACTGTTCAGAATAATTTCAGTGCCTCAGCTCCCTATAGTGCCAATGGAGAGAAGCTGGCATATCCAGCAGTCAGTACAGTATATCTGAGTTTGTTGAATAAACTTAGTATCTAAGTCCCCTCTCCAGTCCTTCTTCATAAAGTAAAAATGCAGTATATTTCCACATGTGGTTATTTATTTAACAAAAAACAGTTTAATTGGAATAGATGAGCAGAAGTACTTGTTTAATGCATTCAGCCCAAGGAAGACACTTTTTATGTCAGAGAAAAAAGCACTAAAAAGGAAATGTCTCCTTTTAGAAAATATTTTCATTCTGCCATCATGCTTAAAGCTAAGCGTTTATTTAACTGCTTTGCTAAATAGTGGCTTAAATATGCATGTTGCAAAATTATGAGAAGTATGAAACACCAAAACTCTATTAATTAAACTGTGTGGAGTGATAAGGCTGTTTTATACTGAAGCATCCAAATTGTATTCTTGAAACTATAGGCACTGTACTCATTTGCAGCCAAAAAAATACTTACTGATTGCAGAGTCATAGGAGGTTGAGTTGTGTTCATCTCGGATAAGAGGAAATGGTGAGATGTAAGCATGTGTACAATTCTTAGAAGGTGACTGGTTAGCTAAAAGTGAAAGAAAGCTAAAGATTAATATTTTAATGCCTTAACAATTAAATATTTTAAGCCTGTTCTTCAAATGGGCCAACTGAGTTTCATAGGTAAAGATTCCAGGTTCTTTCCCAGGCAATAGCTTACAGTGGATTTGGTTTGGTAAGAGATACCAGCCTTGCTGTCCAGACAAGGATATTCCTTAAAGGGCAACACAGATTTGTACTACGGGAACAGTAAAGCAGCCTTGCTGAAGGCACGCTGCAATTTATATGCAGTGCATATGTATGCTTTTATATGCATACATACCTTTCTCTTGTGAGGGTTAATTATGCCTGTCTCATTATTGTACGCCCCACCAAAAAAAAAAAAAAAAAAAAAGGAGAAAAACACAGGAAATTACTTTTTCTCTTGTGAAAGAACAATGAAAAAATATCAAGCATCTTCAGAAAGTTTACAGTCTCAACAAATATTATTCTATGGAATCAATACCCTCAGAGAAGGGTAATTTCACCCTTTATATTAAATGCTTATAAAAATATCACCTTCCTCCTTGTGAAAGATAAGGGCTGACTATAGCTTAAACCACATTTAAATTTCAGATTCTTGACTGCAGAATTCTCCAGACAAATAACAAGGGGAAATTAACTACAGTGAACATTTGTCACTTAAGACCAAGCAATAGATTTGGCAAAATATGGGTTGTTGAAGTCAAATTTGTATGATGGCACCTGCTTTTCACAAGGACTGTGGAAATCTTGCAAAAAGGAGAGGAAGCTCTGTACCTCAGAGGTAGGGTCAGAGACAGGAAAATAAGTTTTGCTTGACCTCTTCTCCATGGGAGATTTTGGTTGTGAAATACTATTTGATCTTCCAGAGTCCTGGCATGTAGTGAAAGAAAGCAACGGGTCATCTGTGAATTTAGCAGTGGAATTCTTCTAGAGATGATGTGTCCTACACCATTTTCACAGTGGAATTGCCCACGGTTTCCTTAACCCACTCATAGAACTAGTTGTAGAAACTCTCCAAGCAAGAATTCATGGACCATCCTAACCAGTAGGCACTTTTTCCCTACGTTACAGAAATAAACAATCTGTTTAACAATAAGTGGTAAGAAACTGGCCTGATCAGAATGGCCTCAGGTTAACAGGGGTGCCGTAATACTCACAGCATAACTTGATAGTTAAACATGTACCACTTTGTCCTGGGGTTTCCTTTAGTACAGATTACAAAAATCATTGCCAATAATTTATTTTAGGGTAGCTGAAGAACCTGATCACCAAAGAAGCCATATGAAATTTGGTGATTCCTAATATGCAAAAAACCCCACAACAATTTTGAGAACAAACTACTGTTGATAATGTAAAGGAAAAAGTTACTTACTATACCAGAAATTCCACATGCTGGCATTATTCTCTCCTACATTTCCACTAAACCAGCATCTCCAGAAGAAACCTTCATGATGGAAAGTGGCCTTCTCTCCCTATGGGGGGGAAAAAAAAGAAAAGCAAATATCATACAATTTTTAAATGCCTGAAAGAATCAAGCTCAACTGAAATTAGATGTTGAGGTAAAAAAATACGACCATCATAATGAAACAAAGTCTGTCTGAATATAGGTTAGCTATACGATATCTGAACAGTTCTACTTCATTTGAAAGAATGTCATATTGCAAAAGTAGTATCACAAAAGACAAATTAATTGATTACAACTGGTTACAAGAGGTTTTGAAGCAAGCTTGTAAGCCTACATAAAGTCAAAAATTCAAAAGTTCGTACAGAAGTAAATTCTTACAAAATAAACACATCCAAGAAATCTACATATATAATTCTCATGATAAATAAAGATGTCCATACTAACCCCAGCATCCTCAGGTGCTTTTGAACACCTTCCTACTTCTGTAGCAAGAAGCCAGTAATCAGTTCCAAATGCCACCAAAAAAAGCAAAACCCCCAGAGCTGCAAAGAAGCCTCCAAAAAATATCCCCACACTCAGCTTCATTATCAAAGTTATTTGAAAAAAAAAAAAACAAACACAACAACAAAAAAAAACCACAACTACCCTTTTAATTACTTCAGAAGAAGCAGTAATATAAATAAAATTTTTGGGAAAGTGACTAAAAAGCTGTTCGGAGAATATAGCTCATATCTGAAGTTTCTCTTCACTTGACTTTCTGTCTGTGTTTCCCAATGCCCTGTGAGTTGATTTGCGTCTCCTAATTTGTGTTCCATGTGGCTGACTCAAGCCTGACAAATGAAAAGGACCTTCTATTTTAGGACACTGATGGCAGAGCTTCATTCTGCTTCTCTGTCCGGGCGAGGCCAGTCAGAAATAGTTGACCTTCCCCTAACTAATCAGGGTTTGACTTGAAATATTATTGCAGCTGGTGCACCAACATCGGTGGAAATGGGAGTTGCTGTGGCTCTGTCAATCCATGTGAACTGCATTACAGAGCACATAGTAGCAGCAAGAACTTCCAAAGTTCTTGGTAGCAAAAGTTTCCTTGGCTGCTAGCAGGGAAGGAAACGCATGCAACACTTTGGAAGTTACTATAAGTCACATTACTAAATGAAGGCTGAGATTTTTTTATGGAACTTTAAAACACAGTAGCCAAATTGCACAAATGCCTTTGAAAAATCCTAAACTTTATTACAAATACAGTTATCTTTAAAAATCTACATCTTAAAAATAGTAGTTTTAACAACACTAAACTAGGCATTTAACTGCTTTATTTATTCAGATGCATCTTATTTGCATACATCACAAATGCATGCAACTGAAAATTCCTCTCACCATCTGATAAAGAAGCTTCAATCTTTTAAAAAAATTTTCCCATACCTGTGCTTTGGCCATTTTGGAAGGGGATGAGGTAACACATTTCAATTCCAAGAACTCACTGCACAAGAAAAAGACTTTTCTAACAACTTCTTTTCATGACAAGCAGGCCTTCACAAACATCTCTAGTGGATTACAGGGCACACTTCTGTAGAGATTTGATGAGTTCATTATGCACCAGCTGCTGCAATCCTTACCCAACAAATTTCCACTGGCATTATCTAGCACCAGAGTAGAAAATATTACACCGACTTCCCATACTGGGAAGTGCTGGGACCAAGAGAAAGACGAAGTCAGTTTACTCCAGAAAACATTAATCACAAAATTTTATTGCAACAGACTTAGGTCTCCAGAGGGACTCCTACTTCCAATATCCCAGTATCCTTTTGGACAGTGCAGCCATGTGCTGAAGAAGAGCAAGGAAAAGACTGTTTCTACCACCTCTCATCACTTCCAGACAGATGAACCAGAGATGTGTCATGAGTGTTTTTATAACACTACATTAACTGCCTAATGCCATATTTGGATGTTACGAGTCATATTTTATTCAAACCTCATACTATACTAACTTCATACACAAGCACATCTGATATTTTGTGGCCTTTTTGCACTGCAATTTCAGTATATGAAGAACAGTAAAATAATTTTCAGTCAAACAGTTTCTTTTTGCCATATTTGCTTTCCCTGAAAGCCACTGATGCAGTTCACTTTGCTATAGAAGAAAGTGATGTTTGGAAACATAATTTTGGAAAGTGATAACTTATTGTTCTTTATTAAAGAAAAAAATCTTCAGGAAAAGAAAAAGAGCACATAGAATGTGTCATAAAAGAAAATAAGGCATATTTTAGAAAAGGATTACTTTCAGGTTATAATAACGCTTTAACTTTCAATCAGCCCTGAAGTGGATTAGGTGATTGTTGTAGGTCCCTACCAACTGAAATAAAAAAAAAAAAGTAGGATTCAGTTCAGGACTAACGTGCCCAAATTTACACAATTTCACGAGATAAGATATTTTTCCATTAAAATCAACAGCAGTCTGGTCAATACAGTCAGTGAAACCTGGAGAGCAGTTCAGCATAACCTAGACTAGACTCAGAGAGCTCAGTTCAATCATTCAGGAAGACGCCTCACTGCAGGTAGTTCCCAGGGTATCCCGCTGGCTTTTAGTTGCCACTCCAGAAGCACCTAGTTCTCTCCCAGTTTCAATTATATTTGCCAGCCCCGCGCAGCAGTCTTAGGTACCCTCTACCGCCTCTAATGGCACTAGAAGACTATGTGATGGTGACTGAATCGAGCCGGAATAGAGGGATCCAGTTGCCACGCTGTCATCTCCTGCCACTGGATGCTCCTGGATGTCTAAGACATCTATGCTCGGCAGGCAGGGACTTAGAAGAGGCCCACACCTTTCTTGAGTGACAGCTATGGGCCAGATTCACACCACCTAAAAGTGATGCTAGATACCTCTGTTTAGACAGCTGAAACCAGTCTCCGTTAGCTGGTCAGGTCATCCTGGAGGTGTTTTAACCAGACATCCATCAACTCTTAACAGCAGCTCAGATCCCTACTCCACATGGAGACATCTGAATTCAAAGGTCTTAATCTGCAACTGAATCTCACTCAGTAGGCTGGAGTTCCCAACCATTTTGCTGTTGTATGGGTGGCCTTACAAAGCATTGGCCCAAAGCTCAAGAAATTTTACTCAGTGAAATCCAGAGATGCAGATAGCCACAACATAAACAAAATCAATGATAAAAAGTTCTTCATGATAGTCATTAAACAGATAAAATGTAATTACTTCTGATGTGTAGGAGCTCATATTGAATTATGTTATTTTTCAGCGTTCTAGGATATGTGTTTATAAAGTCCAAAATACCAGTTGGACACTGCTTTGTATAAGTACTGCAAAAGAGGACAAACTTGAGTTTGGTGAATTCTGACTGTGAAAACAATAAAAATATTTTTTACTGTCATGCTTTAGTCTCCAAATCTCAAAGCTCTTTTCAAAGATGGTTATATATTGCTATTCATAGAATCATATTCCTACCTTTAAGTAAAGAAACTGTGACACACAATGGTGAAATGACTTTTTAAATGTTACATCAGTCGTAAAAAGAGAACTCCAGCCACCTGACTCAGACACTGAAACACAACTAATAAAAGAAATAAAATGGCTGGTTTCAGTCTTATTGCACTTACCTGGCTTTAGGTCAGAAATAAGTCAGTGACTCTGTGAACCTGCCTAAGAGTAACTTACTCTCATGAAGAGCTTCTTGAAATTAGTTTGCATTAAAAGACTCACTGAATTCAGATGACAGTTGAATCACTGCCTTTGCAGTACAAGTATTTATTTTTAATATACTGTACATGCACTCTGGTCTCAGTTCAGCATGTTCATCTTGAGAGGAACTAATTTAATTATTCTCTTTTATATTTATGGCACATTCTCCAGCAGTGCTATCTTCCAATACTCTAACATCTCCAGTATTATGCCTGGCTATGTCAGGAATGAATCAGAAGCCATGTTAAGACTTGTTATGTCAGCTTAAAAATCCATTTTATCCACTACTTGAATACTCTCAAAAAGTCTCAAGGCACTTTCTCTTCAATCAAATTAAATTATGAAGGTTCCTCAATAGAAGAAAGAAAGTTTCAAGGCAGGGAAAATAGGGCCAGGCTTATCAAGCCAAACCAATCATTATTCTGTGTCTTAAACAGTCCCCAACTTCTTCCAAAACTCCTACTTTTCTACGGAAAGACTGGCATTTTAAAATCAAAGTGTTTTAGACAAATTTATTCCTACTATAATGACAATGAAGTAACTAAATCAGTTTTACTATACAATCAATTTGGCCAATTAAGCCCAACATGCATTGATTTTGTTGATTCATAGTGTGAAGATTGAAGGCCCCCACATAATGGACGGATTCCAATCTCATTACAAAGCTGGCAAAAGTTTTATGATTTTATTTCTGTTTATTTTCCAGATAGATAGGGCCAAACTAACTCCTAAATCTGCATATTTTATTTATGTATCTAAATAGCTCCAGCTTCAATATAGTATCTGAGACCCTCCTTGTATTTAAAAATAGAAAATAAGAAAAAAAACCAAACCAAAACAATAGCAAGCTGTTTCTTTCTTCCTTTTCCATCTGAAGGAGAAAAAGCTTGATTAGTTTATGGGAGGGGGAGGTTGTTTATTTCCTTATGTTTGTGTGTGATTGCATAAATGTTGTGTGTATGTTTGGAATTGGCAGGCAGCTCCTTATCTGTGCTGGCAGATATGTCCATGATCTAAAAACAGCCTTTTAGAACTGGCTGCATGTCTCACTATACACCAAGAAACAATTTCAGCAGCTGCCTCAGAGCTGAGTCCTTTCGAGACCTCACTGCCCATTAACTGTTGAAGAAAAACATTTTGAACAGTGATGGCATATCTCACCCACAGATTCAGATTCGCATCCTGTCCATCCTCCCCAGCTGGGCAGTATGTTATCCATTGCACCTACAAGATCAATTGTCATCAGCATGCTGGGCAGACATACAGAGCATAGTACACCTTGTCCATTAAATCGTTGGCTAGTGTTCATCTTACCTAACACTAGACAGCTGCAGGGTAGCTATCTCCAGTTAAGCCAGTCACATCAGGTTTCCTTTACAGTCGTATCGGCACTTCTATGGCACAGTCCATCTGACCTATTTTTGGATGACTACTTCAATGTGCAATGAATCACACCCTAAACGTGTGATTACTTCTTTTTCTTTTTCTTTTTTTCTCCACTGACTAAAAGGGGGCCTAGAATAACTAGTTTGAGATACGACCACTTTAATCTTAATACTACAGTAAATCGGGCCACAAATCACAGAATTACAGAATGACTGAAGTTGGAAGGAACCTCTGGTAGTCACCTTGTTCAACCCCCTGCTGAAGCAGGACCACCTACAGCTGGTTGCCCAGGACCATGCCCAGATGGCTTCTCAGTACCTCCAAGGCTGTAGACTCCAAACCTCCCTGGGCAACCTGTGGCAGTCACCCTCACAGTAAAAAACCTGCTTCCTAATGTTCAGGTGGAACCTCCTGTGTTTCAGTTTGTGCCCATTGACACTGGTCCTGACACTGGGCACCACTGAAAAAAAGCCTGTCTCTGTTCTCCTTGTACCCTCCCTTCAGGTATTTATACACATTTAAAAGATCCCCCTGAGCCTTCTCTTCTCCAGGCTGAACAGTCCCAGCTCTCTCAGCTTTTCCTCGTAGGAGAGATACTCTAGGCCCTTTATCATCTTAGTAGCCCTTCATTGGACTCTCTTCAGTATGTTCATGTCTCTTTTGTACCAGGGAGCCCAGAACTGGACCCAGCACTTTAAGTG